CCCCCCCCCCCCCCGACAAGCCACGTCTCCATCTTGCATACAGCCCTGGCTGGGCAGTGCATGCCCCAGGCCTAGCCCCACTCCCTCCCTCACCGCATGGGGCACTGATCTGCCCCGCCATGCCCCTTCCCTCCGTCCTTCCCTTCCACCACAACAGACTTTACCAGCTGCATGCATCTCTCCAAGCTGCCGGGCTGTGCTTCTCACTGGCTGCATGATGTGCTGTGGCTGTGTGTATGCAAGGGCATTTATCGGCCAACTTATTTATTGGCCGCATCAGGCTAACTTCCGATGCAATCAATTTTGTTGTATCGGTGCCGATCCAATGTCGGACCGATGTATTGCTGCACCTCTAGTGAATAGCCACACGTCTATCTAGGTGGCACATCCAGTGCCTACCACCAGCTGTTGTGGCCTCCGATGAACCACATGATATAATGACCCAGTGTCCATGGTTCATGACAATAACAGTCCCAGTTTACTGTATGATGAGGCCTGGAAAGTCTCTCCAGCCAGAATGGTATGAGACATTTGTCCTGCACCTGCAGGTCATCCAAATTGTACCATTTACTGTTGTGTATCTTTTTGGGGGGTTATTTTTGTTGTTGTTTTTGTTTTGTTTTGTTGGGGGGGTGGTTTTGCAAGCCAAACATATGTAGACAGTTTAGCTGTTATCTAACTGTCTAAAAGAAAACAGCCTCCCAAGGACAGAATCAAAAGAGAGAAAGCATCAAGGATGATGTGTGTGATTCAAGCATTTTGTACACTCGCCTGTTAAAAAAGAAAGAGAATTATTGGGGCTGTTCTATTTTATATTCCTGAATTACTCTTTTGTGGGGAAGAAGGTGTACAGTGTTCTCGAGAACAATTCCTCGGCTCAGGATGGGACTGCTATGTTCCATAAGTGTGACTATATAACATTCTTGAGCAACTCTTATTAGTTTCTGGATCTTTCCAAATTTTCTAATATGATGTCAGGATTTCACCATCTCTTTGCTTTTTTGGTTCCATTATCCCTTCCCTCTGTCCATATCCAAAGAGTTTATTTTGTAAGTGGTATCGAAACAGCTTTACCTTCTTATCTAGGGCAAACACAAACTTCCCACTTGCTCAAGTTATTCCTTTCATATGATGCCAATAATTTAGGCAACCTTGGGGCAGGAGAGCTGTTTGAAATGTCAGTCCATGCTTTTTCTATTCCTACTGAGTTTGCTTCTTGAACTCACTCAATCAAAGCTATGTTAGCCGTTTTCAGCCCAGTGTTGCTTTCTGAATTCTGCCTCTCAGTATTGCAGAGTAGTCATCTAGACTTCCCAAGAGGTGTTGGGTTTTTTGTGTGTGAATAAAATCTCAGTTGATTTCTTCATTATTTTAAAAGTGTCTTTTCTGTTTAAAAACAAAAATGTGAGATTTTTCTTCAATATTGAAAAAAATGTTGCTGCAAAATGGAATAATGTCTAAGCATACCTCCAGAAGATTGAAAGGGTTTGGGTTTTTTGGGGGGTTTTTTGTCAAACAGAATTTTGCTAATGCAAAACTTTGTAAACAAATGAGTTGGAAAGAAAAGAGAATGTTTAACAGTCATTCTTGCAAGCTGACTGTTTGTTTTAGCCTTCTCTTTTGATCTTTGTGGGCGTAATTTATATAATGCTGTTGCAATCAAATATGCAGCAGGCAGAAAATACTTTTTGTGAAAGTCCCTGGCAAGTTTTATGATACAGTGCTAAATTTTCAAGTGGAATGTATTGAATAAAGAGGCAGTGTTGTTGTTGTTGTTGTTGTTTGATGTATACCATTTGCTCTCTGACGCATTGTTTCCTGGCATGACATCCTTCATTTTCTTCACCCTGTCAATTTTCTCATTATAATAGGGGGAGTTTCAGATCTTGGAAGTAACTCATCGTCTAAAGAAGAAGTTAGGCAAGGGAAACCCTCTGTTGAAGATAACCAAGAACAAAAAGAGGACAAGAAAGAGAGTGATTCCAGCTCGTGTACGTTCCTTATAAATGTTGATAATCAGTTTGTTGTAGATAAATGTAGATACTCTGACACCCAGTATGCGACTGTATAGTCGAGAGCTGCCAGTGTCTTCCGTAATTGAGGTTAAAACGCAAGCTTTCCACAAACAGTTTGTTTTCCTGTTTTTCTCAATCTGTGTAGCTTCACCAGATCTAAAGCTAATCTAATATACCTACCATTTTATAGGCCTGGCCTTATAAGTAAGGGGTAGATTTGCATGGAAGTTTTCAGGCAAAGTGGATAAGCGATTTTAGAGGGCTGGTTGCCCCAAACACTGCTAAGATCTCACTGCTTCTATGTTTTTAATTCTTTTGTGATGTCATAACTCAGCTAGGCCTCAAGACTTGGTTTGATACCCCTACCAAGTTGTGCATTGAGCATTGTCACAGTAACAGCATTTTCACTGCAGCTCCTTAGCACCATACGTCGATTTGTGCAGGCTTTGAGCAATCCATGCTGATCTGCTCTGTTCTTAGTGCCCCGTGTTCTTTAGCCAACATGGGTAGGGCTACAAGACTCCTAAATGATGGGAGTCAGTCCTGAAGGGAGATCCACAATATTTCCCTTAGAGCTTGCATAGGGAATTGCAAATAAAAGAAATATGCAGCTTGTTCAAGCATCCAGTGTACTTTATAATCCTTATTTAGACCACAAGCTCCAGAGAGACCCCACTTATCCACAAATATAACCAAGCAACTCTGTGCAATTCCTAATCTCTAGGAGAATTCCAGAGAGGTGAATTCTGAGACCCTCCATCACGAGATTTGCATTCACTGCCATCCTAGACCCATAAGAAAGCTTGGGAGTGGTGAATGTGGTGATTCTCTTCTATTGATTCTTTGTGGGATGATGTTCCAGGGGGAGCCAGTGACCCCACATGGTCTATAGTTAGAAGGTATTTCTTTAACTTCTTAAAAACAGACCAAAAATGCTACCATGGGATTAAGATTAAATAAAAAAAAAAAAAATCTCAGTTTTTAGAAAGGAAAAAAAAATTAAGAGGGATTTAAAAAAGCAAACCTTTAGAAAACCAGAAAATTCGAAGTTAAGAGCAAAAGATAAGCAGAAACTGAAAAATAGGAGCGACAGGCATGGAACTGCATGGGTAAGGCTGGTCCCACTGGAGTCCTCTAGCTGTGCTACTAACTTCGCTGACCATGTTTTGGTTGTCTCACCTGCTGGAAATACTCAGTTGAGTGCAAGCACTCTTGAGCTCCTTGCTAGATGCGCAATACCTGTTCTGTGTATGACACCATGATGCACCTTTCTAGAAAATTTGCCCTTACCCACAGATGCTTTTAAGAACTGTACCCATATGTATTTGCTTGGTTACCTCTCGTGAAATGAGGGCCAGTGGCAGTCCCTGGATCCTCATTGAGGCAGGGCCAGTAGTCCAAAAACTCCTGCAGGGGAGACGGGAAAAGGTAGCAAGCACCCTTTTGGTTTCTAATCCTGCCTTGGGATCATAGGTGGGTGGATTCTGTCTTGTCCTCCCCAACACCAGGGTTTTGTCATGTGAACCCAGATTGCTCAGGCTCTGTTTGAAGGATTATGGAAGAGAAGCAATTCTTGCTTAGTGCAGTGCTGCTTTGTCAACTCTTTTTATTGTCAAACAGACTGAGCTGAATGTTTAGCAAAGCAAATATGCATTAGAAACATCAGCTTCCTTTTGCTTCTTCAAGTGATGAATTTTCAAGTCTTTTGAAATACCTTAGTTTTAATTCCCTTGCGGATAAATGATTTTTTTATCTATTTCACCATTGCTCAAATAAAAAATGAACAAAAGTCCAAAAACCTGCATTTTTGCTTGAGGCAGAAAAACTTGAATTGCACCTGGAATATTACCAAGACATTTTAATTCCAACTTGTATAGCTAATACAGTATGAAGACCTTTTGATTGATTGATTGATTGATTAATTTTGATTTTTGGCTGAATAAATGAAAGCAATGTTACAGTGATCCTGAACTGCGAAAGCAAGGCAGTGGATAATGCAGTAATATATGCAGAGAATCTATAGGTCTTTTTTTATTTCACCGAGAGTTGTAGGTACTCAGCAGCTCTGAAAAGCAGACTTTGTACCTCTAACAACTCCATCAGTTATGGTCAAATGTATTGGCCACTCTTACTTTTGGTAGACATTCATCCAGTTATCAAATGGATATGTTTTATGAAGTTTTTTCTCCCTGCTTTCTGCTTTAGGAGCAAATATTTAAGCATTTTTGTTTTTCTTTGAAACAAAATACAGAAGTTTTTATATTAAGCTTTTATCCAGGGGCAGAGGGGGTTGTTATTTGTCACTAAGCAAAATTAAAACCTAATAGTACGTTATTAAAATGTGTTTGTTACATCAACAAATTTGATGCTAAGATTTTACTGCTATTTACTGTTCAAAACTTCTGCTAGTCTTTGGGGAGGAAAGGACTAAAAATCAAAATTTTATTTGAGCAATTCTAAAATTGCACATAAAAAGTAGAGAATAGAGCTGGCTGCTAGAAAGTCTGCTTTTGTTCCATGTCCATAGATCTTAACACACCCAGAAGGCACCATTCTTATCACTGAGCTTGACTTTTTGCTTAATGTAGGCCAGAGATTTCCACCATATTTATCTTTTTTCATTGAGTTTTGGGGTCTTGAAAAATGATAACAAATCATATTTTGATGGGGCTCTCACCACTGAATTTGTCTAAAATATATAATTTATAGTGTAATTAGCCTTTTTGTAGTGCAGGAATCTTGTCAAACATTCCCACACACAAATCCATGCGTCTTCAGTCTCCCGCATCTCAGTCGAGTGCAGCTGGACAGACCACCACATTCTGCTGTTCAGTTAATATTTCCTGTAGGAAAAATGCCCAGATTTGAAAATTTTGCTGAGTTTACCTCCCAGCTCATTAACCTGTATATATTTTCTTTTTGTATGCAGTATCTGAGGCAGAGAGTGCAAAAGGAAGCGGCGACTGCCTTCCTAAGCTAAATTATCAAAATTCCAGTAGTGCAAAACCTGCTTCCAGCATAGTGCGGCTCAGTGGTCCCATTGACAAGTCTGACAGCATGCCAGGAGAAATGGGCACTGGTGAGTTCAGATTGATATATTTCGCATCTAACACTTTGTGCCCCTTTAATAAATTATTATTTATTTTGGAGTTGCTTCACTGCTGGGTTTATTTCTTTGTAGTTCAGAATGGGCTACAGAGCACAGTATTAACAGTTCTCCTGTCTAGCTTTTTATTGGTATTGTTCTAATTTGTTTCATTTGTTTTTTAAGTATGCTAATTACTGGCTTCTGTCACAGCAACTGTCCTGTACGCTGTTGTGTCCCCCTCTCAAAGATCATTTTAATGCTGCTTTGGACTTAGATCACGGAGGTATAGAAGCTTTTCATTTTCTGTTCAAATGCCATCATGCATGTGATCTTCAGAAAAGACAGTCTCTCAGTTCTCTTCCACGCCTGCAGCATGGCATCAACTCTGCCACCTTCACCACTTTATTGGCCAAAAATAGGAGGGGATCCAATGACAGTTAACATAAACAAAAGGCTTTTTAACATCTTCAGCAGGAGTTAGATTGGGCCACATGTCTATAAATGCTTGGTTCAAGCAGAAATCGTTTTTTAATATTACGATCTAATTTCCAGAATTTTTCTCTTTCCTGTTTGGCTTTTCTGGTCATCTTTCCTCTCAAAATTCAATAAACGTTGTTTCCTTCTGGCTCTTGCTTGTGACCGCCTATCGAAGGTTCACAGCTAGTAAAATTAAATGAAGCTTCAACTGCTTTTACAAGTGTTTTAGTGATGTCAAATCTAATTATACTAGCAGTATCAGCTGTGCTTGACATAGTGTGATATGTCTTGGTTTCAGGTCTCTGGATTCTCGTGGTGTGGCAAAGCTAAAAAGATCTCTTTGACTTTCAGCCTTCTCTCCTTGGCCCTATTATAATTCACCATATTAGAAAACACCATATGGTTTGCCATCTGGAAAGGTTGTTTTTATTGACCTCAGATATCAAACCACTCTTTAAATGGCTTTCTCCAAATGAGGCTGAGAGTCTGAGAAATTATTTATTGCTGCTTGCAGAAAGCTTTGGGATACTATGACTTACAGCCCCTCTGACCCCTAGCCCTGGTTTTTCTGTAAGTTCACACTGAGTGCATCTTTTCGTTCTAATTTCCAACTGCTTCAGAGCATAGACATCTGTAGATCAGAAGTAGTGGAGAAAGCTGTGTGTATTGTGTAGAGTACAAGTCCTCCTCCACCTTCTGAAGCCCCATTCCCTGGTCTAGAGGTGAACATTTGCTGCAAGGAGAACATGGCTGCACTGCATTGAAGGAGCCTCGTGGAGAAGGCCCAGCCTGTTGGTGCAAAGGACGTTCAGTCTGAGCATCTTAATGATGGTGTGCAGAACGTTCCCGTCTGCATCTCCACAGCTGCACGTGCAAACAGCTGGGCCTGGTTCCTCTGCAAATGAACCAGCGCACCCCTCATTCACGTGAGGCACAGTGAACAGCCCATGGTCACACTCAGCTGTATGAACACTGACAGATATGTACATTAAAGGTTTTTTGTAATTTTATCAAGTTCTTGTTATGGGGTAAAAATAAAATAATTTGCTTGACTTGTTTTCCAGAAACCTCAGCAGGGTTGTTGTTCAGATCCTCTTTTGAAGATACCAACGGAGCAGAAATTATCCACAGTAAAACCTTAAGAAAGAGACATAAAAGTGCAGTGGAATCTGACCTAAAACAGATGGCATGGGCAAGCAGGAACCGCAACCTGAGTGGAGATGCCCTCATGGGGCTCATGATCAACAGGATTAATCAGGAAGCAAGCGCTGGAGAGATTGTTGAAAAATTAGGAGCTGATGCAAAAATCCTATCCAATGTGTTCCAGAAAAGCATAAGGCCAAATACCCTCGACATCAGGAAGTCATCATTAGGCTCCGAGAGAGAGAGTCTGGAGAAGGAATCCAGTGATGAGGATGCACCTTTTGATGGCAGTTTCATAGACAAAACGGAGTCTCCCGTTATCTTTGATCTAGAAGACTTGGATGCTGAACCTGAGCCTAAAACAGTAAAATCTTCTATTGAGAAACTAAAGAGGCTGCAACGGAACAGTAGCTTTCCAGTTAAGCCAATTGAAAAAACAGATGTTGAAACTGGATTTGATCCTCTATCCCTGCTGGTGGCTGAGACAGAGCAGCAGAAAGAGGAGGATGAGGAAGACGATGACAGAAGTGTTTCAACCCCATCTGCGAGGCGAGATTTAGCTGAAGAAATAGTAATGTACATGAATAACATGAGCAGCCCGTTGACAAGCCGCACACCAAGCATTGACTTGCAAAAGACTTATGAGGACAAAACTACTAGTAAGAAGAGTCCCACGGCAGCCCAGCCTTGCAGAAGATCCAGCCTTCCCCAGAACTCCCCCAGGCCAAGTCTTACCAAATCCAGGAGTTATCATCCTAAACATGAAGCACGGGCAAGGGACAGGCTCTGGTCCTCTCCAGCTTATTCTCCAAACAGTCCAGCAAGGGAACAGTCTCAGGATATGGCTGGCACTTTAGCTCTAGTATCTTCACCCTCCTTCAACTTGGATACACTCTTAACCCCCACATTTGATGTTCTAAAAAGCAGCATGTTTTCTGCTGGGAAGGGGGTTGCGGAGAAGGCTAGCAAGTGGTATTCCAAGTTTGCTATGTATGCTGCATCCTCCAAGGTATGTTTTCAGATACTTTTAGATATTTTTTTAAAGAAGGACAAATCTGTGAAGAAAGGGCTCAGAAGCTATAGAGTAGGGCTGGGCAAAGCTTCGGTAGCTGATTTGATTCGGGGACTGAATCTCCGAATCCAAATTGAATTGGGATATCAATTAAAAGCTCCAAATTGATTCAAAGTATCCAGATCGATTCAGAAAAGCTTCCAAAAAGATTTGGCCACTTTGGAGATTCGGCTATAGACTAAACAGGCAGCTGACAGCTGCCTCCAGCTGGTATGTCTGTGTTGGGG